AACAACAACAACAATTTGTTCTAAGTCTTCCTCACATTCTGCAAAGAAGGTTGTGTTATCTGTATGCCATATTCTTCATATCACCAACATTAGGCTTCAGGAGATTCAACTTAAAGCCATGAGACAGCATTTCATGTCCAACAGAATGGATAAAATTTGAATGACTGACAACACTAACTGCTGACAATAAAGCAGAACAACTTGAACTCTCCAAGTGTACACTTTATGTAGACACTTGAGTATAATGCTAAATTAATATAAAATGATAAAATAATTCCAGAAAATAGTTTGACATATTTTACAAAGTTAAATGCATACTTGGCATATCAACCAGTTAATCTAGTATTTATCCGAAGAAAGTAATAATATATGTACATAGAGTTATACAAAAAAGTTCATAGTAGCATCATTCCTAATAGCCAAAAAACTCCCAAGTATCTATCCATAGGTGAATGAATACACAATTATGTTATTTTCATGATACTAACCAACAATAAACAAAAGAACAAGTATCAGAACATATCTATACAGATAAATCTGTAAAATTTTAAGCAAAATCTAAACAAAACTGAGTACATACTCAACAACTCCCTTTACATAAACTTCAAAACTAGGCAAAAGTAATCTATAGTAGCAGAAACAGTACAAAATGATAGCTGCCTTCCAACAATGCAAATTAACCATGTGATAATAAAAGGAAACTTTCTGGGATGATAAAAATCTTTTAGATCTTGCTTCGTTTTAGTCATACGTATTTAAACCGTATGTAGCTATACCTTTTCAAAAATAATTTGATAATCTCCAGATTTTACTGAATGTACATTGCAAAAGAGTTTGTTTTAAAATAAAAAGTATCAAATGAATTTAGTAAACTAGTGAGAATACAAACCCAACACACAACTATCAGCTGGGCTCTATACATCAGCAATGAACAAGCAGGATAGGAAATTAAGACAATATTTAAAATAGCATCTAAAAGAATTAAATACTCAAAAATATAGCAACAAAAGTGAGGCTTTTACAAAAATAAAACTTACCAACATAAATTAAAGACCACCTAAATAAATGAAACATTCAAAGCTCATGGAAAAGAAGGCTCACTATAGCTATCTATACTACTCAATGTATAAATTCAATAAAATTACATTAAAACTCCAACACCCTTGACAAATATGGAAAGTCAATCCTTAAATTTATAAAAAGAGAAAGGAACCTCAAATAGCTAAAGAATAATAATAATAAAGTAGGAGAGCTCATATTTTTTTATTTGAAAATATAAAGCTGTAGTAATTAAAACAACCTGGTACTAGGTTAACCTATACTCAACTGATTTTTTTAAGGGTACTATATCAGGTCATGGTACTAGGATATTGTAGCTAATATTAGATGGATCTTGGCTGAAAGCAGGGAATACCAGAGGAATGCATATCTGTGTTTCATTGACTATGCAAAGGTGTTTGACTGTGTGGATCATAAACTGTGGCTGACTCTCAGAAAAATGGGAATCCCAGAACACTTGATCGTGCTAATAAGAAACCTTTATTTGGACCAAGGAAACACTACATGGTTCAAAATTGGGAAGGGCGTACGCCAGGGATGTGTCCTGTCTCCACACCTTTTCAACCTCTATGCAGAACAGATCATCTGGGAGGCTGGGCTCTATGAGGAGAAATGTGGGGTCAAGATTGGTGGAAGATCTATCAACAATCTGCATTATGCAGATAACACAACCCTGCTTGCGGAAAGTAAGGAGGACCTGAAGCGCTTGCTGCAGAGGGTCAAGGACTGTAGCCTCCAATATGTACTGAGGCTCAATATCAAGAAGACAAAGATTCTCACCACTGTGCCAACTGGCAGCATCAGGATGGATGGTGAAGAGATTGAGATTGTTCACAGCTTTAGATTGCTCGGCTCCACAGTCAACACTCTCGGCACCAGTAGCCAGGAAATTAAAAGATGTATTGCCATGGGAAAGTCTGCTGTTAGGGACCTCTCCAAAGTACTGAAGAGCAATGGTGTCTCTCTGGAGACTAAGGTGCATCTCATAGAGGCCATGGTCTTTGCAATCACTTGTTATGCATCAGAGAGCTGGACAATGACTAAGGAGGACGGAAGGAGAATTGATGACTTTGAGCTGTGGTGCTGGAGAAGAGTATTGAGGGTACCGTGGACTGCTAGGAAAACGAACAGATTCATCCTGGAAAGGGTCAAACCGGGTGGCTCCTTGAAGGCAAGGATTCTGAGGCTCCATCTAACATACTTTGGACGTATTGTAAGGAGGGACCGGTCCTTGGAGAGGGACATCATGCTTGGTAGGGTGGAGTGACAGCGTAGGAGGGGAAGGCCCTGTATGAGGTGGATTGATTCAGTGACTGGGGCAACTGGGATGGGTGTATCGGAGATGGTGCGATTGGCATAGGACACAGTGGAGTTTAGGGCTGTTGTACATAGGGTCACTATGAGTCGCAAGCGACTTGATGGCACATAACAACAACATATCCAATGACTAGGTGGGGAGAAGAAATTTTTACATGCAAAAAATGAATCATGGCCCATGCTTTGTACCATACATGTACGTGTGCGTACACACACACAGTCAAAATAATTAAAGAACTAAACATAAAATTTAAAATCATAAAATTCATATAGAATATAAAGGACAAATGACTCTGGGTCTTGTGTTACCAAATATGACAACAAAAGCACAAGTAACAAAAACAATAAATAGAACTTCATAAAAATGAAAATGTTCTGTTCATCAAAGAACTATCATAAAAGTAAAGCTACAACCTATGGACTGGAAGAAAAATACTAGGTGTCAAATAGCTGACAAAGGTCTAATACACACACATACACACCCCCCCAACACAACAAATATTAAATATATATTATGTTGTTGACTGCCTCGATTCAAGCACAACTCATAGTGACCTTATGAACAAAAGGCCTGAAGCCCCTCTACAACTATTAACATTTTTCAAAAGTCATAGAATTTCCAGAGGCATGTTACTTAGGAAGTGAATGCCACTCCTGCTTCCAAACCTGTCATAGTATACATATAAAAACATACTTTGGGACCTCCTCCAAAGACCTGAAGAACAACAATGTTCACTAACTGAGGAATTGTACCTTACTAATCTGCCTTAAGACTGCTGGACTAAACCTGCATTGTGAGATATTGCCTCCCTAACTCTCCAACCTATTTCCCTAATAAACCCCACAACTCTGAGTAAAGTCTGTGAGAGTCTTGCAATGAACACTGGACCCAATGATTGGTAGAAATAGGTGCCAGAGTATGTAGGCTGATATGTCTGACTATCTAGTATTTGTATGGTGCTATGGACATTATTGATGGGGTCAGTTCCCCTTTATGAAGTGGGCAGAAGTCAGACTTGCCAACCCTCACGTTGCATCTACTCCTTTTACAATGCTGCTTAGTTGACTGCAACTCAGTGTCCCTATGTACAACAGATCTGAAGCTTATCTTGGGTCATCCTCACATCTGATTCTCTTGAGCTCACTGTTACAGTCATCATATCAATCCATTATTCTGAGTCTTCCTCCCTTACATTGTATAATGTCCTTCTCCAAGCTTTTTAAGAACAGGGGCTTCACCATCTATGCTTCCAAGGATCACCCTGATTGCACCACAAATGAGATACTATCTCACCCCTACCTAGGACCACCAATGGTCTGGAAAAAAAATCAACAGTAAGTTTTGGGAAAACTGGAACCCTCATCTACTGCTAGTGGCAATGTAAAATGGTGCAGCTGCTGTAAAACACACAACTACCAAATATTCCAATCCCAGGTATATAACCCACAAGTACAGGCAGGAATGTAAACAGAAATCTTTGCACTAATGTTCACTGAAGCTGATATGCACATAAAATGGAGTTCTACTTAATCATAAGGAAAAATGAAGTCCTGATGGTTGAACCTTGACAACATCATGCTGCATGAAATTTGTCAGTAGCAAAATGATATAAACTGTATTTTCATTTATATGAAAAAGCAAATATCTAGCAACCAAAAATTATTAGCAATTACTAGAAGTGAAAAGGAGATGGTAAAAGTAGTTTTATGTTGGTAATAGAATAATTTGGGATAGCAAGAATTCTTTAACTTGACCAATATAAGTATTAGTGAAGGGTATAGTACATGTAGAAATTGTTAAGTGGGTATATATTTTAAGTATACTTTAACCACAATAAAAAATAACAAAAGAAGAGAAAGATTATCTCCTTACATATAGCTATCTCTCTTCTCATCATTCAAAATCATATCTCATACATATATTGAAAATGAGGTTTCAGATCAGTAAGATTTTAGCTAACATTTTAAATAAGGGCTCTTACCTTGCAAATCCTTGTGGCAGTTCTCCAAGGCCATAAAGTGGATAAAGGTATGGGCTTTTGCCATATCTTGCCAAAGACTCACTGTAAAGTTTAATCCTATTAATGGTTTCAAAACATGGCTGATCTAAATAACTGGAAAAAAGGAAATTATTATTTAGAAAAGAATTTTCATTTTAATTTTTGGTTTTCAATTTAAAATTTTATTTCCAAGTAATTTCAATTTACTACCTAATATATTTCACTTAAAAGGTTCTATCACTAATACGCAGCTAATCCCTCTTCTTTCCGTGTTAACAGTTATGTTTGGATTGTTAAAATACTCTGGAGACATGGGAAATACCATAAGAAAGGTCTAAGAAAAACACAAATCTAAAAATCAAAACACTTACTCATCAGTTCTGTAAAGTGCAAGGGCATGACCAGTGAAATCTATAACATCTTGGCCCAAGTCAAATTTCTTATACACGTCTCGCATTGTAGTCTTCTTAGGATCAACACCCTCAAAAGTTCTAGGATCTTTTTCATCAAAGTTGGCAATATAAACAAGGAATTTTCTGAAGCGACGTTTTTCAAACAGCCCCATTAAACCTAAAAAAGAATTTTTAAAAGATATACACTTACAGGATACCAAGTAAAATAAATACATACAAGAAAAATTTTAATGGGCCATGTTATTAATTGTGCTCTTCTAATTCACTGGGCAAGATGTGGAAGTCAGCACAAATACACTTGTAGTTTTAAGATGTGGAAGTTTGCACAGATACGTCTTCTAGTTTTATAACATTCTTCAAAATGAACTGACAATTATATTAGGTCAGCTATCACAATTTTAAAATACAATTAAAAGTAATTATAATCATTACTTAGTGAAATGTAATATTAGTTCAACTAAGTCTTTTAGTAAGTATAATGTAAATAATGGCTGAATCAACTGCCACATTATAAATCCATAAAGGCATCCATACGTTCTTTTACTGGCAATTCGGATTCAACCAATTACCTAAACAATAATCCTCTAAATTCACTGATTCTTTTCTTCTACCTAATTAAACCTGTTGTTAAATCCTTCCATTTGTGTTGCTCATTTCAGTTATTATCCCTTCATGCTGAAATACTTGGTTTCTCTTTTCTCTCTCATACACAACCCCCCTTCTTTGTGTTTACAAATTTCTCCTTCTTTTAAATCTTTGCATATACATTCTCTTAACTCCATAATTCCATTTTTCATTGCTTTATTTTCATTCTTTATTAAGCCTTTGATAGATCTATTGTCACTACCTGTCATGTTCATTTGGATTGATCACTGTTTCTTCTTTGTGTGTCTCGTGATTTTTTTTAAATGGGTCATTGGTCCCAACTTTTTCTGTTTTTCTAGTATTTTATATTGTCATTAAATTACTTTCTATTTAAAAAAATCTCTTAGATCGGCATGGCCTTAAGTTTTGTTTACTCCTTGTCAGTGTGACAGTTCCTTCTCTCTGGTTTCATTAGGATTCAAAAATTACTAAATGCTCAAGGTTTCTCAAACACATCAGAAAACATGGAGTGGGTGGGCACTGTCATTCCAGTAACATGTCTTGCATTAATGAATCTATATATCTCTATCTCTGGTTATTATTCTCTTACTTTCCCTATTTTTGCAATCACGCTTTTGAGTCAGAAAACGTACATGTAATGGAATCCCTGGGGGACTAGATGTTGCCTTCTAGGTAGTGTCTGCCCCATTTCTTTCTAAATGAAGGAAGTTGGCCTGTGCTTCCCCTGAATACCAACTAATCTCCACAAAGCAAAGAAGCAATCTCAGGAGTTCTTAGTGCTGACCTGGGGAGGATATAGACAGACAAATATAACCTGACTCCAAGGAGTTATGTTTTGTTAGAGAGGTGTGAAGTATGGGATGTGCAGGAAAAACAGGGAGCATGGAAGTAGCTGCTACTGCAGGGCTTTCTATCACAGCAAGTTGCAGCTGACACTATCTGGTACGGAAGATTTAACAAGCTCCTAATGCACCCCTACAGAAGTCTGCATTGTTGATTTTAGAGAAGCTAGAACTCTTGTCTCCTTATAAAGGTAGAAGGTACTGTTGTTGGTGAAGCATGTTCTTTTGCTGCAGCTGTTTCTCTGGTTTACAAAAGCAGGTAGCTTGCATACATGCAGAAGGGGCAGGGACTGTGGGAGAAGTTATTTCCCTACCACATGGGATTCATTTAGAAAATTTTACTTACCCTTTATATTTAGGAACACATACACACATACTGAACAAGATTACTCTTGGCAAACTGACTTCAAAAAGAATGCGTAATTCTGCCTTTTGTGTGGTCTGAATGTTTATAATTGAATTTATACAACAATTTATTAACTGTTTGTTGGAGAAAGTACGAAGGACATTCTAAACCAGAATCTTACCTCTCTCCAAACTCCTATTCAGTGGTATGTCAAAGTATCAAAGGTTGTTTCCTCTTCAGCTGCCAGTCCAGTCCTATCTTTTCCTTCCATGGAGCTTGACCCTCTACTCTCTCCTTCCCTACACTCAACCATCCATATATTTTTCCACTTGGGACAAAAGTGCAGAAGATATCCGGAATACCAGAGATGCTTTATGACAAGAAGACTTAAGACATAAATTTGATGCTTGAAGTCAAGGAAAAAGGCCCTGCTGATGAAGCTTTATCTAGACTCACATAAACAACTAGTAGTCCTCGAATTTTACTGTACTTAGAATCACTGGTGAAGCTATTACATTGTAGATTTCTGCTCTGCTCCCAAAGGTGCTCTCGCTCTAATCTACTGACCAAAAATGTTATGTCTAATAAGCAGCTCAGATACAAAAATAATTACTCTCTCTCTCTAACCCCAAGCTTGTCAGAGGGGCATAACCACATCTACTCAAGGAACAGACTTCCTACACTTCTATTTCCCAAACTGGATACACTATAACTCGCCTTTTTATGAGGATAAAAGTGAAAAGTAACTTAATAATGAAGATATGACTTGATAAGCTTGGCATTAATTTTGTGAAATTAAATAGAATGATACAAGAACAGGGAAAATATAAAAAATTAAATAAGAAGTGTATCAAAAGACTTCCCCAAAAGGGAACCTACAGATTGGGACAATATGTTTGGCAAAGATATATGTGACAAACAATACTTCTCTAAAATTTATTAGAAAACTTCAACATTTCAACAACCAAAATAATTACAAAAGGGGCAGAAGACATGAAAAAATAATAAAAAATGACATTGAGATGGCCAACAAACTAAGAAGAAATGGTTAACATCATTAACTGTTAAGAGAGAGGTAAACCAAAACAATGAAATATCATATCCTCCCGGTGACCACAGTAAAATTCATTGAGAGAGTAAACAATAAATGCTGGTGAAACTGTGGAAGAGTCTAGAACTCTCATACACTGCTGTGGGACTGTAAAATGGCACAGCCACCATGGAAGGCAGTGTGGCTCTTCTTTAAAAAGTTGGAAACAAAAATATCATCTAATTCAGCAATTCACTACTAGGTCTTTGAACAAATATACATACATCCATGTTCACTGCAACCTTACTCAATAGCAAAGAGATGAAAACAATCCAGGTGTCCATCAATGGACGAATGGGTAAAAAAAACAAACTATGGTACACTGACACAATGGCGTAGTATGCAATACTTGAGAGTAAGATAAAGAATGTAGAACATGTATGCATCTTAAAGACATTATGACACATATCATCAGTCAGGGATAAAAGGAGGACAAAATATTATATAAGACCACTATTACTTAAAAAAGAAAAAAAGGCTTACACACAGAATCATTCATGGATTGTTAACAAAGATGGGAAGGGAAGGGGAGTAAAAATTAGAATACTGATGAAAGAGTGAAGGAATTAAGTGCAAACTAAGGAGATGAGTACAATATCAAAGAAAAGGAAGATAGGTTCATTGAAATCAGAATTACAGGGAAGTGGGAAAATGTATACTGTGGGCATTGTAATGTGTATGTGAATGGTTGAAGCAAAGATTAATTTGTTTACATGTAAACTTTTACTCAAATCACAATTTTTTTTTTCTGGGGAGTCATGAGGATGTTTTTGTTTGGTTTTGATTGGTCAAATCACAATTTTTAAAAAAGGAAAAGTTACATAAGGAAACAAATGTGAAGGGCAGAATTAACCAATAGAAAATATTCAACACAGCTATTATAAAATTATCACTGAAAGAATACTGCTATCTCTAGACAATCTTGATTTCACAAGCATCAAACTATCACTTAAGCAGTCTCTGAGCTAAAATTTCATTCACTAGTATGTCCCAGTGCCTAAAACAGTGTATGACACATAATATTTATTAAGCATTTGTTGACTAAATGGCTAACAGATGGATATAAATGGCCAAGGGAGTTTTAAATATTCCTTCCCCTTAAAAAAATCTTATTCTAAATATGCAACAATGAATAAACAAAAATCAAAGTCTCTGTAAATTTTTATTAAAAATTAATAATAATAATAAAAAAATCTTATTCTGAGAAAACAAAATAAAATTACTTACTAGATGCCAGGGCTTCTGCTTCAGTGGAAGGAACTTTGTAGATTTTCCCTCCCTTATAGACAAAGCTCCCTTCAGTTACTTTGAAATCCAGGTAGCGTGTGACCTCTGTATAAAGGAGCATCTTTACCAGCTGACCTGTAAAAGTCATATAATTCAAACTGTAAATTAAATATCACCACTTAAAAAAAATGTGCAGAAATAAAAGCACTTTACTAATACAATGTCTCATTTTTTCCCTTAATGTTTTCTAAGAACTATTACTTTTTAAAAAATGTGTAATTTCTATTTTCTTTTCCTTCAGATGAGGCTTTTCCTTCAGCCTTTAAGGAATCAAATCATTACAGTAGGGCTTTAGTGGTTGTTGTGGGGCAGCACCTACAGGTCTAAATCTGGGTGGAGGTGTTCTGTTCTTTCAGGCTTAGTGTTAACAGTTCACCACTGGGTGGAGGTGTTCTGTTCTGAAAGAACTGTTAGTGTTAACAGTTCACCACCACCATGTTGTGAATGGCACAACTCACACAATAGTGCAGTTTCACATAGTTTTGTTAACACTTACTCATTGAAGACAATCATTTTGGAAATGTCCCTGATGGAGCTGCCTCTAGTGTATTTCAAATTACAAACTTCTTTTATTGCCTTGTCTTTGGACATGAAGTTCATGCAGTAAATAGGTGGCATGTGGCCACGGAGCCCTTCTTGGCACAGCTGCTATTTTTCCTTTTCTTTGTCATTTGGGCATCAAGGCTCCCTAATAACTATTACTTATAAAAATTCCCATGTTATATTGTACAATCAGAATGTTTACCATATTTAAAATATTTAGCATGTTTTCAGCCTCTCAGGAAGCTGCTATTCCTTTTTCTTTATATGCTGCCACCCATAGGGTGGCAAAAGGACCAAAACAGGACCATCAATCCTATCTCTAGAGTCCACTTGGGACATGTGCCCTATGTAACTGTATAAAAAGTTCTTCCCCTTGATTTCAGCATGGCTTCCATTGCTTAAACACATGGTATTAACAACAATTAATTTGAAAAATGGAAAATAATTGTTATGAAATAGTTTTAATGTTACAACTTCAAGATTAATATTCTATCAGCTGGTCTTCACAAAAGCTATACTTATTTAGGCTTCAAAATAATTCAGTCATGGATGAAGGAAATAAGAATACCACACACTGCATGTTATTATGTGCAGCTGAGTAGCTGATAATCTTATAGGAAGAGAATGCCCACCTTACTCCCTCTCAATGGCTGGTAGATTTGAATCACCTCATTTTAGAATGGCAATGCAGTGCCTTACCACTAGGCCACCAGAGCTACACACACACACTGCATTCTGATGAAATTCCCTACACTTCAGATTTTGAATTTAAGTAGTTACAGGCAGTATTGCCATGCTCTAAGATGGCAGCCAACACACATTTAAAGCACTATGACTGGCTGCCACCTTTGAGGGGAGTATCGCTGTCTATTTCCTATTTGGGTCAAAGTTCATTTTGCAAAAATTTGGTTACAGTGCAACATATACACTGTCCTTGTTTCCTCAGGCCACAACTGAGTAGTTTTGATAGAATAGTTTTGACAGAATATTTTGGAACTAGTTTGGCTCCATATTTACCAAAGATTGAAGAATTAGAATTATAGTACTGTTATAAATGAATGTGAATTTCTTTAGTCCTTTTAAAGAAAAGCATCTCAAGAAAAAAATTTAGGAATTTTTGTTTTTCACTTTCTAGTCAACCTACATTTATTGAAATGAGTATTAATTTCAGATAAAGTCAGCTTGTTATAATTAGAAATATTACTTGCTATATTAAAGATATTTTAGAATGCCAAAGCTGGCAAATGTGTTTGAAAACCAACAAAATTAAGCATGATTGGCCATTCACGTGGAGCAACAAAAATCAGGAAAGTAGAAGCACATGAAATGCATGGCTAATTACTACAAAATTTTTCCTTATATAATTATTTCATTAAAATTAGAAATAAAACTGTCTCTTTTACTATGACACCAAAAGTGAACAGCAACTAGCTATCATTCTTAACATTTTGATCAGAGTACCTGATCAAATGGAAAAAAATACTGAACAGAATTTAAATTCTGACAGACTCTAAACTTTCCAGAGCTATGGAGAGTGGGTGAATCTTTGCAACTATTGATAAATTTCATTTGCTTTGTATGTATCTGAAAATTACAGAGAATAAGGAAGACCAAAGTATTGATGCCTATGAAATATGGTTTTGGGGCACTGAATATGCCATGGATTGATTGCCTAAAGAACAAACAAGTCTTTTTCAGAAGTTCCACCAGCATGCTCCTTAAAACCTTTATTTTTCTGCCAATGACTACAGTGCAGCTTAAATGTCCTTTGTTAATCTTCCCTTGTTAACATCAGTTCTGAAACAGTTCATTTCATTGTAGAACATTTCTTTTTGCTACAGTGACTCTGTGTATTCTTCTTTTTATGCTCCTTGCATCATTAAGATGCATCTATTGCTGTACTTCTAAAAAACCTATAAACTAAGGAAAACTTTAATATCTTCTGTTTCTGAAGGTCCAGCTATCTGAAATGTCATCAAAGCATTAAGAAGGAAGCTTGCTAAAATAGCTTACATTTTGAGTATATATTGTGCCACATTACAGTTTGTTTCTTCAGCACCAGTTACTAATAGTCACACTAGTATTTCCCCATTTTTAACTGTCCTCTGCTACCTCTAGAAAACCATATTGCTCTCCATATTATTGCCATCAAACAAATTTATTTACACGTATACATATACCTGGGGGGGAAAACCTCAAGAGTTAGTGTCTAACATAAATTTGAGGTACTTCTTTACCATTAGCCATAAGGAACTTGGGTATTAAGTCAACATTCCAGTCTCTTCCTCTGCCCATTGATGCTGGTGGTGATCCTGGTATTTGAAATCTTTTGTATAACTAAAATCAAAGCAAAAAATACCCATAATGTAACAAACGTAATTTTCATTATAATATGGTAGCCGTTTTTAATGAAGTAGCTTTGATTTAATAATTAACACCACTAACTGAAGTGAGGCCCAACAAAGGAATTTCATTTTGAATCACATAAAATTTCTACAAGGGTTCTAATTTATATATGTAACTTAAATGTACAACTAATGAATGCCAAATAAACAAATACTGCAGAAGTTGAACTAAAAGTTTTTCCTAGTAGAAAATGCTAGAGTATAAAATGATCAATGGCAAAAAACCAAACACACAAATACATGAAAAAAACCCCAAAACTATCAATGACACATTAGGTCTGCTGATAAGTCCTTTATTTGTACAAATCATTTAAATTCAACTCTTTCCTGAACTAAAAGCTTCCAGAAAGAAAAAAAAAATCCCTTTTGCTTATGTGAGAAGAGAATAAGCTAAAATTAACATTTTGTTTCTTGACGCAAGAAATCAATTGTAGGCAATCAATTCCTCAGTAAGGATTTGAACTATTAACCTACAGGTCCAGCTGTGGTGCTGGAGAAGAGTACTGAAAATCCATGGATTGCCAAAAACACTAACAGGTCTGTCCTGGAGAGGGTGAAATCAAGCTGCGCTTTGGAGGCAAGGATTTTGAGACAGAGTCTCACATATTTTGGGCCTGTAGCCAGGAGAGACTATGCAGGAGAGAAAGATCCTGCATGAGATGGAATGACACACTAACTGGGGTAACAAGGGTAAATGTATCAGTGAGATTGGCTCAGGATAAAGCAGGGTTCAGAGCTATTATGCATAGGGTCACTTAGTCACAGTCAATCATCAGGCACACAACCACCATCACCATCACCATCACCATCACCATCACCATCACCATCACCACCACCACCACCACCACCACCTACAGGTCATGTCTCTCTGGCAGTTCGAATACACTAGCAGCTCCAAGAAAGTGGGACAACCTTCTCTCATGTGATTTATAGCCTTAAATGCTGGCCAGAGGTTCAGCTGCAAGTTTGTCTCAACTTCACAGCAATAAGTTTGTTTTCAGGGCTTTCTTTTTTAAAAACAGCTGTAAGGAGGAGACTTGGATGGTACAAATGATGAAGTACTTAGCTACCAACAGAAATGCTAGAAGATTAACTCCATCCATTGGTTTCTGCCTGTCTACTCCCAAAAGATCAGTCACTGAAAATTCTAAGTAATATTCTACTCTGAAACACAAAGGATGGCCAGGAGTCAAATATTGCCTCACTGCAACTCGTGTGGGTTTTGATGGTCGTTATTCTAAAACGAGCTTTAATTAAAAGAAGTAAGCAGTTTAAAATTTAAGAATATGCATTCACACTCATGAACTCCTGCTAACATGAACAGAAAGAGCAAAGCTGGTATATGTTTACTCAATAAAAACTCATGAATCCCTGAACAGATTAAAAAAAGCAAAGCAAAAACAAACAAACCCAAGAAAGTTTGCCAATTTTATTGAAGATCAGCTAACAACTGGCATCAGTGCATCACTCCAGAGATTACTTACTGACTGTAAACATACTACAATACATAGATCTGGTGGTCATCATCTTAACCAAGGAATCTAACTTAACATCATTAACAATGAATTAACCAGACACTATATACCTCCTGATATGAAACAGTATCAAGTACTCAACAATATAAACTCATTGCCATCGATTTCATTCTGACCCACAGTGACCTCCATTGGGTTTGTGAAGTTACACTTATTAACGAGGAGTATGCCCTCAGAACTGAACTACTGGAGACACATGGCCTTTTGGCTAGCAGTGCAACAGACTACACCATCAGGGCTGCTTTTAACTTACATTCCTACAAAATGTAGTAGAGTTCATATCTGTGTATGCAGATACATAACAAAAACCACCACTGACTTTTAAAATGTTTCATGTGCCTTTGCTCATCAAGATTTGGAAACAGTATAGACCAACCAAAAAAAAAGTATTACTCATATAAGCTAGGCTTACAATCTATTTTTGCCATTAAACCCCACTAAGACTATTTTGATATATGAAAAAATGGGGATAAAAGTTTCTCTTTGAGTGACTGAGAAAACACCTGAGACAGTGCAGAAAGCACCGATCTTCATCAAAAAGGTGATCCTCTACCTACCTTTCAAATCAGCACTATATTAATTCTGAGTACTGTAGATACTTTTGTCCCACACCATGCATATTTGACAATTTACATTTTTATAAGTTTCAAAACAAAAACTCATTCTAACTAAAAACTCATTCTAAAGTATTGCTGTCCAATTGAAGAAATCAGCTTATAGTTGGTTGACCTTTCTCTCAGAGAGCCACTGATCAACTAGAACTACCAGAGAAGTTTAGACACTGGGTTTACTAACTATGCCACCAGAGCTCCCTTCTAAATGAGAAGCTCCTAAAAGGTACAAAATCAAATCCACATATAAGAGACAATGCTGAGATACTCTAGTAAAATACTCAGAAGTATAAGGGGTACATTAATTATCACTAATACTTACATCTTCCAGTGGTGTTATAGATGCACTTTCTCCTCCATAATATGGATTTCGATCCATGTGAAGAACTTTCTTTCCATTCACTGACATTATGCCTGACAGGATACATTCCTACAGGGAAAGCACAAGTATTTAGAAAGGAAAAATGTGTTATATGTTTAAAATAGATACATCCTTAAAAATTTTTTTCTTTAATTAAACATTTATTTATATTAAACATACAACTAACACTTGTATACGTGCAATCTTTCTAAATGATTAAAACAAACAAACACAACAACCTTAAACAAACTCATTTGCCATAGCTGACTGTCCAGTGGGTTTTCAGAGGCTGTAAATCACACAGGAGACAGCCTGTCCTTCTCCTGTGGAGTAGCTAGATGATTTGATCCTCTAGCCTTTGGGTTGGCAGCACAACTCTTTACCTATTAGGTCAAAGATGTTCTTATGTACTGTCAAGCCAGAACCAACTAACTCACTGCTGACCATCCAGCTTTCCAGCAGGTGTAAATCACAGGGGAGGAAACTGCTCATCTTTCTCTTATGGAGTTGGCTGGTGGCTTCAAATCACAAAGGATTTGCATTGGCAATCTAACTTCTTACCACTAGGCCACCAAAGCTGTCTTAGATAATCAGTATGTCCCTGATTACCATCAGCTAGATGGAGATCCTTGTATTATTTATTTTTAAAATTATTATTAATGTTATTAGTAAGGCTTATGAGGTCCCTTTCCATGTACTCTGCACACAATTAGTAAACATCAGACATATGACCACTGTTCTTACAGTAAGCTCACTGCTCCACGGCTCCAACCATTTGCCCAGTCTCTTTAAACATTAGTTTTTGAAATTAGCTTTTGTCCTTTTAAAGTATTTGTGAAAACTGGAAGTGATAAGCCGTAATTAGACATCTTACTTACCATCTCACAGCCTCTGCACTGTAATAATACAGGGCAAGAAATCCCCTCCTTGACTAACTCTCCACCTCTCTTAACCATGCTTTTTCCAAGGACTGACCTCTTCTAACATGTTGAAAGTATGTAAGATGTAGTCTCACCATTCTTCCCCAGCATCCTGGCTGCATTCTTTTCAAGACTTACTTGTTTAAGTGTTTTTCTCCAGCACCACCACTCAAAGGCATTAATTCTTAGGTCGTCTTTATCCACTGTCCAACTCTCAGAAAGCAAAGAAAGTTAAGGGGAAAAGACTATGTTCTTAGTACTTAAACGGTCATCCTTGTTTCTTTAGCACTTTGGACAGGTCTCTGACTGCAGATTTTCCAATGCAATATGCCTTTAGATTTCTTGCTGGTACCCAGGTTGTTGATTATGGCTTCAAGTAAAAGGAAATCACTGACAATTCCAATCTTTTCTCCATTTATCATGATGTTGCCCAAGGGTGAGGATTTTTGTTTTCTTGATATTGAGATTAAGCAGTAGTCCTTAATCTTTTGCAGCAAATGTTTTGAGTCCTCCTCACTTCCAGTAAGGAAGTGTGTCTCATCTGTCTAATAGAGGTTGTTGACGAGTATTCCTATGATATTAATGTCACATTTTGTTCATAAAATCCAGCTTCTTGAATGATTTCTTCAGCACAGAAATTAAACAGGTATGGTGAAAGGATATATCCCTAATGCATACCCTTCTTAAACTATGCATTGTTTCCTTGCTCTATTCAGACAACCACCTCCTGGTAGGTATAATTTCAAATGAGTACAATTAGGTTCTGGGATTCTCATTATTCTCAATATTATCCACAATTTAATCCAAAACTTCTGTATAGTCAATAAAAGATAAGCAGATGTCCTTTTGGACTCCCTGCTTTCAGCCACGATCATCTGACAGCAATATCCATCCTTGGAACCATGGCTTCTCTGGCAGTTCTGTTCCAGCTGTTTTTAATAATCTTCAGCAAGAATTTGCTTGCATGTGCAATACAGTTCAATAATTTCTACATTCTGTTGGGTCATCTTTTTTGGGAATGGGAATAAATACAGATATCCTCCAGTCTGCAGGCCAAGTAGCTAGGCTGTATCTGTTTGTTGAAGCATGTCAACTGGTATCACATCAGTTCCTGGGACCTTACATTTTCCCAATGCCTTCAGTGCAGCTTGAAAATCTTCCTTCATCATCACTGGTTCCAAACTGTATGCTATTTCCTGGAGTAGTTTTCTAGTGTATTCCTTTCATCTACCTCTCCCCCAATCCCATCTACTTTTGATGCTTCCTGGATCATTCAGGGTTATGCCCATGGCATCCTTTAGTATTGTAACTCGCTTGAATTTGTTTTTCAGTTCTTACAGATTGAGGGATGCTGAACAAGTTCTTCCCTTTTTAATCCTAACTCCAGCTTTTTACACCTATTTATAATACTTTATTTTGTCTTTTCAAGCTGCCCTTTGAAATTGTCTATTCATCTCCCTCACTTTGGCAATCCTTCCTTTGTTTTGTCCTCTTGATATTACAGTGTAATTCCCAAGTGTCTACTGTGACATCCATTTTTATTTTTTTCTTTCACCCTTCTTTTTGTAGTGACCTTTTGCTTAGGTAGGGAGAAAAGATACAACCCTGACACACACCTTTGCTCATTTTAAATCATGCAGTGTTCTTTTGTTCTATTCAGACAACAGCTTCTCAGTCTAAGTAAAGGTTTCATATCAGCACAATTAACTCCATTCTCCTCAATGTTTGTAATAACATGCTATGATGCACACAAATACCTTTGCATAGTCAATAAAACATCGTGAATATCTTTCCAGTATTCTCCGCTGTCCACCAATATCCATCTGACATCAGAAATGACATATTCCTTGCATCATGGTCTCTTCTGAACACAGCCGGATTTGTTGGCAGTTCCTTGTCAATCTACTATTTTCAGCCATTTTAAAATATTCATCAGCAAGATTTTACTTGCAGGTGATATTATACCATAATTTCCACATTTTGTTGGAACATCTTCTTCAGGACTAGTAGCAAATATAGATCTCTTTGTCAGACGACCAAGTAGTTGTCAAATTCTTGACACAGACTAGTGTATGCATCTGTTTGCTGAAATACCTCAAGTGATATTCCATCTATTCCTGGGGCCTTATAATTCTTGCCAATGCTTTCAGTGCTTCCTGAACTTCATTACCATTGTTTCTTGATCAGAGTCTACTTCTTGAAATGGTTCAATGTCAACCAATTCTTTTTGGTACAATGACTGTGTATTCTCTCAATGCTTCCTGCATAATTCAAGATGCTGCCTATAAACTGGGGGCTCTGCCCTCCTTCACCCCTGTGTTCCTAAGGGTAGAGGTCTGGGCCTACAGGAAAAGTTCCCAGACAAGGTGGGAGCTAGAGTTGAAACTAGACCCATACAGCCTGCTGATGAGGTTCATGCCCATTCCTCCTACTTTTTATTCATGTTTCTATTATTTAAGCTATTTTCTGTCACAATCAAAGGGATGGAAGCTCATTTACACAGGTAATAATGAAGGGGTGTTGTGTGGTTTACTCCCCCCTTCTTGTTTCTTAAAGGCATTTTGTTTTTTTGTTTTTTTAATCTGTACATCAGGAGCAACTTTTTCTGTCCAATAAAAATGAGACATGGGGAAAAAAGATTTTGCCTATAGAATAATATTTCAGTATTGCAATTTGATCTGAATTTCTTGACAGATGGAGAAAACAGGGAAACTACCATAGATTTAATTTTACTTGGCTCCCCAACCGACACCTAAGGTGGCAGCAATAAAAAAATCAAAAAGACTTGCTGCAGTGGGAAAACTGCTGTCAAGGACCTCTTCAAAGTGCTGAAGAGCAATGTCAGTTTAAAGACTAAGGTGGGCCTTATCAAGCCATTGCATTTTTAACCGCTTCAAATGCATATGAAAGTTAGACAAAGAAAAAAAAATGCAAGGAAAATCAATGCCTTTGAACTGTGGTGTTGGGGAAGTGCATTGCATATTCATGAACTGCAAAAAGAACAAGTCTATTAGAGGAAGTGAAACCAGAGTGCTCACACTTTGGGAATGCTGTCAGGAGGGTCTAGTCCTTGGAAGAAGACATTATGTTGGGAAAGATGGAAGCTAAGACTAAGAGAGGAGGACTTTCAACAAGATGAAATGAGGTAGTGACTGTAACAATGGAACCAAGCATAGCAGAGACTGGGATGATGGCACCACATAGGGAAAGTTAGATCTGTTGTTTATAGGGTCACTATGATTTTAGTTGACTCACCAGCACCTAACAAGGCTACCACTTCCTTAAGGGGTACACATATATTATTTTAATAACACTCTTTCTGGAATGGGGAAAGAGAGGACAGATAACAAACACTGCATTAGAACAGATGAGGGGGACCCCTGGTGAAGCCAAAGATCGTCAAAAAGAGGACCAAGAAATTCATCCGCCACCAGTCAGACCGTTATGTCAAAATTAAGCGTAATTGGCGCAAGCCCAGAGGCATCGACAACAGGGTTCGGAGAAGATTTAAGGGCCAGATCTTGATGCCCAACATTGGTTACGGGAGCAACAAGAAG